ACTCCTTGTACAGCAGTCTTATATGTCTTTTTAGTTTTATGTGTCTAAAGGAATATGTTTTGTTCTGTCCTGCTTTGTTCTGTTCCACCCTCTAATATAGAAAGGATGAAAATACATGTTAAGACTCATACTTGCGTAAAACCTATAAACAGTTTATGAGAACTGATCTTATGACACATGATGAAATGAACAAATAATTTGAAGGGAAAAAGGGTACTACAGGGCCCAAAGCTGATTCCAGAGTGTAATGATGTGAAATCCAGCAATACTATTAATCTTTGTTCAGAGTGATTTTAGTCTGCTTTGGTTTGTTTAATCTCAACATTAATGAAGATATGGATAAATGTGTGAATGTTTAAGTGTATAGGATTGATAGCCATATTACTAAGATTTTATTAGATAGTTGAACAGAACTATTTGCAGTCTCCCTGTTTGAATTCCCATCTATATGTTCCACTTTTGTATCTTGAACAATTATTTTTAAGAGGACAACATGTAAATATCAACTAGTGATTTATTACTGTTCATTTTTTTCTTTGAAAGTATGTACAATTTCTACCCGTTTATGTTTTGTTTTGTCTTTCTTTAAATAAAAATTTTTTTAAAAAGGAAAATGGTGTTTATAACAGAGCTTTGGAGCATGCACAGGGGCAACCATTCCTGCCCTATCCTTTCTCCCACAGCTGTTTCAGCCTGACAACAACCCTTCCTTCGCACAAGGAGCTCCCTGGGCCAACTCCTCCCTTTCTTAAATGGGTTCCTAAATCTGATTTACTTTCTTGAGCAAACCTCTACTTATAACTAGCCATGTTCCACTAAATTTCTACAATAGTGTGACTGCTGTCCCCACCATCTGAAACATCCTAGAGCCGCAGAATTGATGCCCCAGTGTCTAGCAGCATGAACAACACACATAGTAAGGAATTACATTCTCCTGGCTTGGTACTTCCTAGGTGCATTTCATGGTACCTTCTCTACTGAGTACCCTGAAAAAAAATTCTATTTCTCAGCCTTTCCAAAGTGCTACTATTCATACTCATGGTGTTCTCTGTATTTATTTGGTGCCTTGAATATTTCTAATCACATGATCGTGTGATATAAACTCTTAAAAGGCAGATGATTTAAACCAACTACAAAGCACTCAGCGTAGCCTCACTGCACACTCTGGAAGTTGCTTAGTTTTTGACCCTGGCGATCAGTTGGTGGTGGTAAAAATAAAAGCCATTAAGACTGTGATTCATGAAGATGCTTTATGCAAGTTTTCCCCAAGCAGAAGTGCACGGACGTGTAATCCCATTACCAATACTCAATCTTTCACTTTCAGGAGATTTCCTTACTAATTAGTCTGAAGCTGTAATTTAGCTTATACGTTAAAGAATGTGTCACATGAGGACACTTCTAATTTATTTCTGACCTTCCTTGAATTTAGAAACACATATGTCTTTGACTGGCATTTCCCCCAACTGTCATTTCTCTGTCACCAAAAAAAAGAAAGAAAGAAAGAAAGATTTGTCTAAAAACTAAGACAGAAAGGCAAGTTCACAATCCTTGTCTCAGAACTCAATTTGCCTAATGGTTTTGTCCAGCTGTCCTGCTGTTTCCTTAAGATTTTCTTGAAATGGCCAGCTTTTTACCATGTCACTAGGACTTTGAAATAGGAAGAAATGTAATCAGAAATAGGTGTAAATCTGAATGAAAATTTAAGAGTTGGTGAAAAACCTGGACACACTTTTCTTTCTACCACAGCAATGGAAAATTTCCAAAATGGTGGCCACACTATCAACCTGAGTCCTCCGCTGAAGACGGCAGGCACACATCCTCCCCAGCCAGCTTGTGGTAGACACACAGAGTAGGAAACAATAAACTGCAGTTCAAAGTTACTAGGGCCTGGGGTTATTTGTTATTGAAGCATAATTTGGCCAACCCTGAATAATGTAATTATCCTGTTAAGAAAACCCTACTCCTGACTTCACAAGGTATATTTTCCTTGAAATTTCTCTTGTGTCTTTACAGCCACTGTTGACCTCTCTGGTCCCTGCAGATTCCATGACTTTTCCTTAGAATTTCTCTCCAAAATATCCTACTCATTACATTCCACTCCTGAAAAAACTTATTGCATGCCTGTTTTTCTAAAATTCCAGCAAAAACCTCCACAGTGGTTTGATGGAAAAGTGTGTGATCTGTCACACATTCTATATTGTTCCTTCCTTCCAGCTCTCAGCCTTGAAGGATTCAGGCCCAACAGGGCCCCCTGGCCACTGAGGGAACAAGAGTCACCCAGTCACTGTGTTCCGACAGCTTGTCACATTATGTTTCCCCTTGGGGGCTCTGATCCCTCTATCTAACCTTCTTCTCAGCCCTTGAAACTACAGGCAACTATATAGGGCTCCCAAGGGAAAGCCAAGCAAGATTGATGCCCTACAAATGGCCTTGCATGGGAGGGCTCCAAGTTCAATACAGGGAACAGGCCATTCTTCCCCAACTCAAGTTCCCACACTGGACACCAAATAGGGACCAGGATGGCATGAATTCAGCCTTCGTTCATCCCCCAACACAAACAATCCAGCACACTCGCATAATCGCTCCAACTCCAGCCCTCTTGCTTTGGCTGCTCAAAATGTATTTAAAGGTGAGCCAGGCCTTTTTAGACTGTAAGATTCATACTGCTCTTTGGACAGGGGACCTACAATCAAAAGAGGATGCAAAAAAATAGGAGGAAAATACACTCATTTAAATATCAGTCAAAGGCAATTGCATCTCCTGTTCTGCATCCTAACCAAGTGTCTGTCTCTCTACTTGCCCCTATTAAAGCAAACAGTTTTGAGTGCTATAGGCCAGGAAACTCTGCTGAAGGATCATAAATTAGCATCACTGCCTATTTGCATGAACAGTTCCCTGCCCACACAGGTAAAACTTCCTAAGGGCTCAGACCTACAGTAAATGCTGCAGGACTTCTGCGGACTGTGGAGCAATACATATAAGAATGATTCCATTTAAATTCCCTGGGAGGTTTCATAGACCAAGCACCTCTGAAGGACAAAGAGACAACCGTAACATTACTTGAAAATAAATGCTTCTAAAGAATGTTGAGGGAATTCAAGGTGAGGGGAATCCAGAGGCTGATAACTAACCCATAAGCTCATTTTTTTATCCCACATCTGGACTTTTTTTCCCCAAGTCTACAGCCTGTCACTGAGCAGTTTATCAGCTGTCACTCCATCTCAATTCTAGGTGACATGAGATCAATGGCCTAAAACTCCTCTCAGAACTACAGAGAAATTTATAATGCCAGGCTCTACCATGGCCTGGGTAGGCCTGGGTCCCACAGTTCTGAGAGTGAGATAACTGCGTAGACTTCATTTCCATTTCAAAAGTGGACTGTGGCCTGCTTACACCTGAAACCTTTAGGTGCAAAGGAAGCCCTGAATCAGAAGTCTTCTGCAGTTATAGAACAATGAATTTGTTGGAGGGATGGAGCTAATCAATGTTTAAAATCTTCTCTGCCTTGAAAAGCCTCTAGCTTTCTGTTTTAATTGCTTTTAAATCCAGTGGGATTTATTAATAACAAAACCTTAAACTTGTAGCAATATATTTTGGTCTCTGAAATCAATCCATTCATTCAATTTACCTCTACAGAACTCTCGCACATGGTTTAAGCAGAGGTGTGTGGCTCCTTTGCTCCTCCCTGAGGGCTCATTTGTCTACAAATGAACTTTTCCACTATGAACTCTGTAATCTGTCCTAATTTCACCTGAGGGTACCCCTAAATCCAAGATGAAGCCTATATCCCAACATCTTCTAGCCAAAGACTCCTGGGAAATTCATGATTCTGTTCTACCAGGTACACACATGCACACACTGAATTCATGGGGCTTTAAGGGGAACATCCTGAGCCACAGACACCCCATCCCTCCATAATTTGTCCTGCACAAACGCTAAACAGACGATCCACTGAGGTGACTAGACTTATTTGTTGATGGGATCCAGAGAAATGACCACTTTCAGAGTGAAAAAAATAGCTCTTTTCCACATCTATCCATTGTATCCTCCTTGGGACTAAACACACATTAGAAGCTTCCTTGGAAGAGCTCCATTCTCCAGGAACTAGCAACTATAATGGCTTGAGCATCCCGAACCAGCAACCCTGTATTCCCTGATCCATGATGTATTCCTTGATACTGGCCCTGATCGTCTGTCTGAGGTATCGTATGACAGGTTTCTCAAGATAGCTACTCTTTGGTCCTCATCTTCACACTGAGATCTTTGGAAGGAAATCACTATATACAACCCACATTTAGAGTAGGTAGTTTTCTCTTTTCTGTTTGCTTATTTCATGCAATCATTTACTTATATTAGTATAGATCATTTGTTTTTAATCTGTATTCCCACAGCACCTCTCACAGTCTGGCAGTTAGTAGAATGACAAAGTAATGAACTAACTTCCGTCTCTCCAAATTTCATACTTTGAAGTTCCAACTTGTAGTGCCAGAAGATGTAACTGTTTAGAGACAGGACCTTCAAATAGTCAATTAAGGATAAAAGATGGCAGATATCACAATAAAAAAAATAAACTGTATGGTGCACAAGTACCAACTCTCCAAGGTGATTGTAAAATGTATATACTATAAACATTCACTAATAAAAGAAAAAAAAGAGGTCCTGAAGGATTATTCAAATCCAGTAGGATTGGTATCCTTTTAAGAAGACAAAAGAGAGCCAGGTATGTGGCACAGGCCTGTAATCCCAGCACTAGGAGGCTGAGGCAGAAGGATCGTTGCAAATTCAAAACCAGCCTGGACTACAAAGTGAGCTCAAGGCCAAACTGAACTGCATAGTGAGACCCTGTTTCAAAAAGACAAAAAAGCAGCAGGAGGAGGAGGAAAGAAGGAGAAGAGGTGCCAAGGATTCATGCACCCAGAGAAAAACCCTTCAAGGTCACAGAGAGAAAGTAGCAGACTGCAAGAGAAGGGAAGAAGTGGGGCAGCTTCAGGAATGCTGACCTCACACTTCCTGCCCGCAGAGGATCCTGCTGTTTAAACTTTTCAGGGACAGCTCTAGTGGACTGACAGAGCGGAAGCACAGGGCTCAGTGTTGGTTGCACACTGTTCAGTATAAGTTTTTGGAAGTCGCCTGATGCTCCTGGGTGTCTGTGGCCATTCATCTTGATACAGCAACTGAATTGGATTGAGAAACACAAAGAAAAGTTAGTAAAGCACACTCCGAGGTAGGTTATAGAGTTGTGGCCTTGTGCGTTACATATAGTGTCTCCCAGTTCTGTCACTGTTCCTCCCACCAGAGAAAAATAAACTAAGCATTCTTGCTCTGTTATGCCTTTCCTAAATGATGTTTCTGCCTTACAGCCAGCCAGCCATGGACTGAAGCCCCTGAAACTACGAACCACATTAAACTTCTCCTTTAATTTACGAGTGTTGGGTATTTTGACCCAGCAATGGGAACACTAACTAATATAATAGCCTACAGAAAAAACTCCTTTGGAATACCCCTGGTCCTCCAGAACTGTGGGTTGCTGTCCATCAGAACTATCTGTCTAGGTGATTTTAGGCATGATATTAGGCTTTCATCGAAATAGGTAAGGAAAAATGAAAGCTCCTTTTAGTGATCATCTCTGATCACAACTAGAGAACAGTGCATGAAAATATTTTGAAACAACCGTAGGGCAATGAGGTTACTTGAAGACTCCCATGAAAATCTTCTCCTTCCTTTAGGAACTACCTACCTAACATTATATCTACTCTCTCTAGAAAATGGGAACACAAAATCAGAAGCAAAGAAACAGACCAAAAATTAGGAGAGTTGGAGTTTTTGTTGTTGTTTTGTTTTTTGGTTGATTTGGTTTGGATTGGGTTTTTTTGAGAGAGATGGTTTAGTCCTAAACAAACCCCTCACCTATAATAAGAGGTTTAGATTACATAGTGCCTGATGTTTGTTCTTACGCTTTTAAACTTAAATAACTAACATATTCCTTAGCATCTGGTACTATATCATCTTACACACTACTCAAAACAACCTTAACAGGTACTATTATTACCACACCCCCTCCCTTTTTTTTTTTTTTTTTTTTTTTTTTGCTGATTTGGGAATTAATATACAAAGGGAACAAGTAATTAGAGAGGATTGATGATGATAATATTTGAATTCAAACAGAAGAGTTGGAAGCCCGCAGTCAACAACCCCTGCTTCTTATCAGGTGAAATAAGCCCCTTCAGTGTCTTCTGGCATAAGGAACACACAAAATGCTGTTTGGTCACGTTGTAAATGCAGCACTAGAGAGGCTGAGGCAGGGGCCATCTTGGGCTACAAAGTCAGTTCAAGGCCAGCCTGAATCACAAAGAGACCTTGTCTCAAAAAGCAAAAAGTGAAAATTAAAAATTACTTTATCCACTAAGACCTGGGAAAAGTCCAGGGTTTGTGAACATCTAACATGTGGGAACAATCCAAAATCAATGTTTGAACAATAATTACCTTCACCTCCAATTTGTCTCATTGTCTGACTGCTGAATTTGAATCAGGCTTATGGAGAATGCTGTTCTGTGGTTTAGTATAAAGTTTAAAAGGCACAATGTGGGTATTGACACCCCAGTACACACACACACACACACACACACACAACGTAAAACTTTTTTTAACCAAATATTTGAAAAGTAGGAAAGAGCTTCGTTGCATTTCTAGAGTACCAACGCTAGCAAAATCTAGAGATTTAGGAAGTCTGTGATTTTTGCAAAATGTGGTTTCTCTACAAGAACAAATTGAACGTTCCTAAAGATCTGCCTCTGTTCTTTGCTTGGCCAAGCATTAGCTGCATGCAGAGTTCCTTGCGAGGTTTATTCAACAAAACGAGAGAAAAACATGGCCCTGTGCTTTTGGTTGTTGTTGTTAAAAGGTTAAAAAATAGCCCCTTTCTCCATCCATTTTTAGAATTACACTTTTCAACGAAGTCTAGTTCCTTTTCCTGGTAGATATAATCCTAATTAAAAATAAATTACATGCTGTATAGAACTTGAAATGGAAAAGATAATCCTATTACATATGAGAATATATCCTGATTTTCTCTCCCGCTAAACTGTGGGAGATACCAGATCAGGCTGAGCCCCCCATTGTGGTCGCTTTGAAAACTTTCCTGGAGCCCTAATCCGTCACGTGACGCCCGTGTCAATCTCGGTGTCTGCACGCGAGCTGCACAATGCAGCATCAGGCTCGGGACCGCGAGCAGCTCGGCGGAGCCCGCACCATTTGCATTCCGAGGCAACGCCGGCCTTTGTGGAGCCGTTTGTTCTGGGCATTGCCAGACAGTCGCCGTGAAGTTGCTAAAACCCAGAGAAAGGGGTTCTTTGAGCCAGCCTAGGCCTTTTGGTATGGTAACGAGGCGACCCGAGCAGCTTTGTGGGGATCAGCGCCAGCCCTCCCCCACGCCCTGCTCCCCCCCTACGCCCTGCTCCCCCCCCACGCCCTGCTCCCCCCCCCACGCCCTGCTCCCCCCAGGCCCTGCTCCCCTCCCCCCCAGGCCCTGCTCCCCCCCCCCCGCCCAGCCCCCCTCCAGGCCCTGCTCCCCTCCCCCACGCCCCGCTCCCCTCCCCCACTCGCCCACCCGCACCCCGGACCGTTCTGCTCCCCTGGGGTCCCGTGGCCCGGTGCGCTGTTTCCGACCGGGTTTCCGGCGCAGTAGGCTTCGGCGAGGTGCGGGGTTCGCTGCCCCCCAGCTTCGCGCCCCCCCGGCAGCTCGGCTCCCGGTCCTCCCGGAGCTCCGCGCCCTAGCGGCGGCGCGGTGGTTGTGCCCGGGGCCTCGCGCCCCTCCTCCGGCCGCTGGGCTGCTGTGCTTACCCACTCTTCCCTTTCCTCACGCCACTGTATTTCAGTCTTTAGAATGGGCTTGCAAACGAAGAAGCGCCGAGAAAGAGGGGAGGAGGAGGGGGAGGAAGGGAAGAGGGAGGACAGAACAGAGGGAGGAAACAGCATTAACCAGCCCAGAACTTCGAGGCTCGAGGCTCGGGGGGCGCAGGGCTCAGGTTCCACGTCTCCCAGCCACCCTCGGCCGTGCTCCCTGCAGCGTCTGCTCCGGTCACTGCTGGAGACCCCCGGGCGCCACTTCCCCCCACCCCGGCTCAGCGCCACCTCCGCGTGGACCTCACTTCCCAGACCCAGCAGAGCGGAAGCGCTGCAGCCGCTGTCCAGCGGCCGAGTTCTGAACCTGTCCCCTCCGGCCACTGGGGAAAGTCGGAGGCCAGGCCTGGCCCGAAAGGGTCAAAGCACCCAGTAGGCCTGAGCCCGGTGCTGATGTTGCAGCGTTCGGGAAGAGGGCAGAAAGTTCTTTTGGCTGCATATAACTCCCACCCTAAGAATATCTCTTCGGCGAGAGCCAGATAGCAAACAGTCCTTGGAAGCAGGGGAAATGCAAGAGAAGACTGGGAACGGGGGTCCTGTAGGGGCCTTGGCGTTCCCATGTCCCCGCGTGGCTGCAAAGCCTCTTGCTTTTAACAGTCTCGGGGTGATACAAAGGAGTAGATGGTGACGGGAATCTACAGGATTTAGGGAGGCCCTAATTTACCCACAGTCTCTCCCATCCCAGGCCTAGGCGCTGTTATCTCTGGTGCCTGGCTCTGAATTTTCTGCTGCCTGTCAACTCGGGGCACCCTTTTCATCCTCCTCCACCCCACTGACCACCCAGCTTTCTGAGTGGTCTCATCACACCTGCCCCTCCTCTGAAAACACCTCAAAACACATTCCCTTGACTGTAAAGATAAGAAAAACACAGTGACACCAGGACCAAATCAGCATTCAGAAGAACGTTGGCTGGACGCGATCTGCTTATTAAACCTATCGCTTTTTTAGGTTTGGGTTGCTTTTTACATCTCTTCCTTCTCGTGTGTTTACATAGACTGTTCAATAAAGCCTTTCAGTAAGAATCAATAAGAATCTGTCTTCTTCCGGTTGACCTCTCATGGGAGGGAGATACCTGTGGACGCCACTCAGTGCCTGGCAAGCCTGACACTCGCCCAGCCCAGAATTTGGCAACGCCTGAGCTCCATGCTTTTGTAAGCAGATGGTTAAGTTCTCCCAGGTTTGTGCCAGGTTTCAACGTCATGCTGTGATTTTGTTCTTCTGAAACAGGACGAGATTTGCTTCCCAGAGAGGCCTTATTAGAACAGAAAGAAAATCCTCTAAATAGGCGGAACAAGACATCAGGAGGGAAAGTTCTCTAAATGCACTTTAATACAACCGAGTATTGTGTAGAATTCAGTGCCCAACACCGTTTAGCCCGAGAGTTATGGCAGTGATTGGGGATGAATAGAGAAACATAATGGATACATGTGGCGTTTGCTCATTATATTCAACTTAGCCCAACGTCACTGTGGAAACTGTTCAACTTTCTCTCCCCTTAGCTTGTCATATGCAAAAAAAAAAAAAAAAAATACAGACATTGGGGCCTCCAATGGGATCGCCTGCCACGCCATTCTATTTCCACTGCTAACGAGGGTTTCATAAGCCTTTGATATAGCCTGATCTTTGAAACCTTTCCAAATCTCCTAAAGCTTATGCTAAATCCTATTTGCAACCTTTTTTTTTTTTTTTTTTTTTTTTCCTTGCCAGCTAGCTCCAGGACTTAAGAAAGCCATTTGGACAGTGACATGCATACTAACATATCACAGGACTCTTTCTGAAAGGGAACTGACAGCTCTGCTAACCGAGGCTCACGCGAGCAAAACACAATTGCGTACACAAATTTGAATAAAATCAATTTTCCTTCATCCTTTGGGTTTTTTCATCGACAGGCTATTCCCGGCGCCGTGGGAAGCTGGGAGAGAAAAGGAGCAGAGCTCTGTCCACAGAGCAAGTTTGGAGCCCTGAGAGGTGCAGAATGAAGAGGCGCGGGGAGAGGGCGGGGTGGAGGATCCGAGTCCCTAGCGAACTGGTTTGCACTTAGTTTTAGCAGAGACCACTGGAGTGGGGGTACGGGCCAGACCGTGCAACTAACAAGACCACTGGCTCCTTTTATTCCTGGAGCCTTGGCCAACGCCTCCACAAGCAGAATGCTGACAGAAAGGGGGAAGAAACAGAAGGAGTTTTTAAAACAAAGAAAAGATTCCCTCGTTTCCTTTCTTGTTTTCTCCTCCTAAGCCTTTCCACATTAAAAGGATTGTCAGAGGCTGGCAGAGGAGCGGCGCTAGTGCAAAGCGACCATTGGCTGCCAGGCTCGGGTGATTTGCATAGCGGCTGCTATAAAGGCGGAGGCGGCGCGCGGCGGCGCAGCTCTTGCTCAGAGAAAAGAGGAGGAAGAGGCACGGAGTGAGGGCGGGTCTGTGCATCCTCCTCAGAATCTGCCCGAGCCGGAGCTGCAGCCAGCAGACTTCTCCCGCGCAGCGCTTGCAAAGGACCAGCTCCTGGGAACCTGGGACTCAAGACCCGACCTGCAAACCAGCCAGGACTGTTCTCCTTGGCCTTTAGGAATAACATCTGGGCTGGCGGCATGAGTCCTAAAAGGCGCTGGGGTAGCCCTTGGCTTTTTCCCTTGCAGCTCTTCAGCCTCTGCTGGGTGCTGTCACTGGCCCAGAGCAAGACAGTCCGATACAGCACCTTCGAGGAGGATGCACCCGGCACAGTCATCGGGACCCTGGCTGAGGACCTGCATATGAAAGTGGCGGGGGACACAAGCTTCCGCCTCATGAAGCAGTTCAATAGTTCTCTGCTCCGGGTGCGCGAGGGCGATGGGCAGCTGACCGTCGGGGACGCAGGCCTTGATCGTGAGCGGCTGTGTGGCCAAGCCCCGCAGTGCGTGCTGGCCTTCGACGTGGTCAGCTTCTCACCGGAGCAGTTCCGGCTGGTGCACGTGGAGGTAGAGGTGAGGGACGTCAACGACCACGCGCCGCGCTTCCCCCGGGCCCAGATCCCCGTGGAGGTGTCCGAGGGCGCGGCAGTGGGCACGCGCATCCCCTTGGAGGTGCCGGTGGACGAAGACGTGGGGGCTAACGGTCTGCAAACCATGCGGCTGACTGAGCCGAACAGCCCCTTCCGCGTGGAGCTGCAGACGCGCGCGGACGGCGCCCAGTGTGCCGATCTGGTGCTGGTGCAGGAGCTGGACCGCGAGAGCCAGGCCACCTACAGCCTGGAGCTGGTGGCCCAGGACGGCGGCCGCCCACCGCGCTCTGCCACCGCAGCGCTCAGCGTGCGCGTGCTGGACGCCAACGATCACAGCCCGGCCTTCCCCCAGGGAGCCGTGGCCGAGGTGGAGCTGGCGGAGGATGCGCCCGTGGGCTCGCTGCTCCTGGACCTGGACGCAGCCGACCCGGACGAGGGCCCCAACGGCGACGTGGTATTCGCCTTTGGCGCGCGCACCCCGCCGGAGGCGCGCCGCCTCTTCCGGCTAGACCCGCGCTCAGGCCGCCTCACTCTGGCCGGGCCGGTGGATTTCGAACGCCAGGACACCTACGAGCTGGACGTGCGAGCGCAGGACCGCGGTGCCGGGCCACGCGCTACCACTTGCAAGGTCATAGTGCGCATCCGCGACGTGAACGACAACGCTCCAGACATCTCCATCACTCCTCTGGCCGCCCCGGGCGATCCAGCCGCCTCGCCCTTTGCAGCCGCTGCCGCTGCGGCTGCCCTCGGTGGTGCGGACGCCACCTCCTCGGCGGGCCCGGGGACGCCCGAGGCCCGCGTCACCTCGCTGGTGCCCGAGGGGGCTGCGCGCGAGAGCTTAGTGGCGCTGGTCAGCACCTCGGACAGGGACTCGGGCGCCAACGGGCAGGTGCGCTGCGCCCTCTACGGGCACGAACACTTCCGGCTGCAGCCAGCCTACGCCGGCAGCTACCTGGTGGTGACCGCGGCGTCGCTAGATCGGGAGCGCATCGCAGAGTACAACCTGACGCTGGTGGCCGAGGACCGTGGCGCGCCCCCGCTGCGCACCGTGAGGCCCTACACTGTGCGAGTGGGCGATGAGAACGACAACGCGCCGCTCTTCACGCGGCCAGTCTACGAGGTGTCGGTGCGCGAGAACAACCCGCCTGGGGCCTACCTGGCCACGGTGGCCGCCCGAGACCCGGACCTGGGCCGCAATGGCCAGGTCACCTACCGGCTGGTAGAGGCCGAGGTGGGCCGTTCCGGGGACGCAGTGTCCACTTATGTCTCTGTGGATCCCGCTACTGGGGCTATTTACGCGCTGCGCAGCTTCGACTACGAGATGCTGCGCCAGCTTGACGTGCGCATCCAGGCCAGCGACAGCGGCTCCCCCCAGCTTTCCAGCAGCACATTGGTGCAAGTGCGTGTGTTAGACCAGAACGACCACGCGCCGGTCTTGGTGCACCCCGCCCCGGCCAACGGTTCCCTAGAAGTAGCGGTCCCCGGGCGCACGGCAAAGGACACGGCTGTGGCGCGCGTGCAGGCCCGGGATGCAGACGAGGG